TAGAGATGAAAAGTAGAGGGAAAAAGAAGTGAAGAGAATTCAAATGTGTCTATGTATATTTATTTATGAGCTACAATTATATTTATGTCTTATCTCTAGTCTAAATTGTAAAACCTCATTTATAATTTACAAATAAGATCTTATAATTAAGACCGGAGGTAGTGTCAAATAAGCATGGAGAAAGAAAGAAAAATGAATAAATATGCAATATATATGCATTTACACTAATACGCATGCTCAATCTCCTTTCCGATTTGGTTCCTCTCAGAATTCCACTCACCTTATCTCTTAGAATCCCATTTCCACTCTTGAATCGAAAAATATAGAAATTCAATATTTGATAAAACTATTATTATAATATTTTATCAGTTGATTCTCTTTTACTTTTTTCTATACTGTTTTTTTAAATGTGCTGATGAAATTATAACAGTTTTAATTAATTAATTAATTAATATGTACTATTACAATAATTATTTTATAAAATATTAAATTTGAAACATAAATATTCTATTGAAGACTTAAGAGTATAGATGAGATTCTAAGAGGAAAACGAGTGAATGGATCTGAGAAAGGTTACGATTATTAATTTAAGGATTCTTCAATTTCACCTCCTCAATTCCACTTGTTAATATGCATTCAAGTATTCTTCAGGTCAAGATTAGACATAGCTCTTATTTTTATTTTATGATCAAAAGAACTTGACTCAGAACTCATTCGATATTAGATCCCTTTATTTAATAATTTCATTAAAACAATTAATTACTTTTGTTATGATCATTAGGAAATACTTGTACTGCATAAAAAATCATAATAAAAACTAGTCAACTATTCAATTTTTCAAAATTAATAAACTATATGGTTAAAATTATAATTATCTAAATCAACGTGATAGTATATATATCCCTTGAAAAATCATTTTCAGTAATAAATATATCTCATCCTGGAAGTCTCCATCTTGTTCAATTATTTGAAACAGGTTTGTCTAGACCCACCATTAACTAAAAGGCAAAAATATAAGTTTCAGCCATTGCAATCGCAGAGTGCTAAAAAAGCAAAAATAAAAAAATAAACATGTTTTTCCCTTTGTTAGTGTAAAAGTTCACAAATAAATAAAAAACGAGGCCGATAGAATATGATTAACAATATATACTTTATATTATACTCGTATATTGGTATTGATAATTTTGATTCTTTTCAACACGTATTCATAAATAAATATATATGACTTATTTTTTAGAAATTGATAAATTTTTTTACATATATATATATCATATGTAATTATTTCCCCCCTTAAAATTATAAAAAATTCAAATTAATACCCAGCAACAAAGATGACGATGATTTGAATTATTATACCAAGTCAGGGGCCAGACATATCCAATGATTGTGCTAATGAAAATAATGGGACTTTAATTTAATAGCAGTTATGCATAAATCCTTTGGCAACAAAAAAGGTTAATATACAAATTTGTTCCACTAGTTTTTACTTAAAAGTACTAGGTATCTGAATTTTTTGGGCGCAAATTTGTCTAAAAAATTTAAAATCGTAACAATACCATCTCTTACTGTAAAAAATATTAATAGTTAATGTTAGTTTTTTTAATAGTATGGGCTATGATTTTAAATTTTAATGACAAATCTGTATTTACAAAATTTTTGGGGTGCTCAATACTTCAGTGAAAACTTTTGAAATAAATTTGCATATTTTTTTGGCTAAGGAGGGGGAAAAAAAAAACAACTATTGAACTACAGCACCAGAAGAGCAATCTAAATTAACATTAGAACGGGAGAGATGAGTCCCAGGCGGCAAGGACGAAGCGCGCTTTGCAAGTCGGTCAGTTCTTCATTTTCTTCCCTCCTCAACTTTTGGAGTAAATTTGCATATTAACCCCAAAAAAGCATGCAAATCTTACTTAACTTGAACGTGTTTGGTTTCATGTAAAAGTTTTTAAAATAATTGGTTACTTGTAATCTAATACACACTTAACTCTCCAACTCATCAAGTCTTGAAAAAGAATTTACTTACTATAATTGACATAAATTTGAAACATCCTTTGAATCAAGAATTATTTGATGAACGAATTGTTTTCAATATTTCTTTTTTAACAAGTTATTTCAATGAATAGGCCTTATCACTTATATATTGTCAAAATAGTAATAGTAATGCAAAATTAATTATATTACTAAATTAAAATTTCAGACAGAATATATTAGACGGCCTAGAAAGCTTCTCTTCGCCTGATTAATAAGCCACTGATATATTCAGATAATTAAATTCCCTACACATTAATTAATTAAGGGTTCATAAGGCAAGCAACCATCAAAATTCCTTTGAAGCTACAATAAAGATAGTACTTAAAAGTTAAAACATGATCTTTATTATTAGTTTCTAAATTAATCCTTACATAATTATTTGTTAATTACTGGCTGACCTCAATGCCACTTCTTCATTATAGATATTGAAAATTCTTTTGAAAAAAATTAGACTAAAAAAGCTCAACAATTACGCCGAATCGCAACCCCTAACTTGTTCAGGTTCAGCTTCTTTGAAGTAAACAAAAAAAAAATTGTTCAGAGAAAAAAATTTAATATAATTTTTTACTCCTAAAATGTGAGTCTACTTTGGTTTTAGTCCCTTAAATTTCAAATTCATGATTCTAGTCCTTAGAATTTAGGCTGTCTTAGAATTTTAGTCTCTAAAAGTATAATAGTGTTAAAATCTGCTAAAATTTCATAAACAAAGTTAAAATAGATGTGGATAATAGTACTGGATGACACCTAGTTAGATACTACCTCCGGTCCTAATTATAAGACCCAGTTGACTTATTTGAGGAGATTAAGGAAATAAGTTAAGTTAGTTATTTGTAATAAATAAGTGTTGTCATTCCTAAAATATCCTTGCTAATTAAGTGTATTGGCTAGAACTATCATTATTAGAAGGACTATCTTGAAAAAAAATGCATAAATATGAGAGAAAAAATGGATTGGGATCTTATAATTAGGACCAAACAAAAAGTCAAATGGGGTCTTATATTAAGGACCGGAGGTAGTATTGTATAGATATATTGAAAGGAAAAAAAGAAAAGGCCCTCAAAATACGGTTCTTTACCTCCTGTTTTTTCTTCCTCGCAGTTAGTTTCAGGAGATGTTCACTGCATTGCACTTTATTATCCACACAAGATCTAGTTAAATACCATCTGATGAGTTCATATTACTAATGTCATTGATAATATTTCAGTAGATTTCGTTGCACTTTGAGAGACTAACATTTTAAGACAAATTAAATTTGAGGAATCAAAATTAACATGAGCTCAAATTTTAGGGACTAAAAATTATATTAATCCAAAAGAAAACAAGCATATTTTCGTGGTTTTCTCTTTTGTAATGCATTATATATTGATTAATAAAATTGAAGTGATTCTTTTTCGGTTTCCCCTCATTTTGTCTCTGCTATCGATAATATTAAATTACCAATGAGGAGCCAATATGTTTATTTATAATCTTCACACTTACCTTGGCTTGGTAGCTTTCGGATCCACATAATAAAAAGTTAATCAATAATCAACCGAACCTTTTATATGGGAAATGGTGATTTGTTTCTTCTGTTTATAATAATCATGTATACTGTTAGAACATAATATTTATTTAATAAGACAATGCACAGAATACAAAATAATAAATTAAGACTTCAATTACAAGGAGAAAAACATTTGAATATATATATATATATATATATTTATATCGAGGTAGATAGTGTGCATTCAAAGGAATTTAAATTAACAATGTATTAGAAAACGTATCGTAGACACAGAGACGGCAGGGTTCTATTTTTTTTTTCCGGAAAAGGGGAAACTTTCGAAATTAAAAGAACATTTTTTAAAAAATTGAATTTCATTGGATTAATTTTCAAAAAAATTTCAAAATGTGTTTGATAAATTGTTCATAAGCCTATTGGATCATTATCATTATTCATGAGTACTTAATTTATTGGTGATATATCTTGGTGACCCCGCACATAATTAACTCCATACATTTATTTGGTTAACTTCAAGATTTGAATAAATAATTTATTGTATACTAAATGGTGTTGTAAGAAAGAGAGAGTGAAAAAAAATTGAATGAGTATAAATAAATAAGATGAGTTTCATGGACTCTCATTTTCTTCTTAGACTGAGAATTGAATTGGTTCCCATGAAATGTAATTTTAGGATAAACTTATAAAAGTATAGAGAAACGAAATGAACATTACAACAAATTAAAGTTGAAAACTCATGTCTTTCTGTTACAAAATTTATATGATGAAACTTTTGCAAAATTTGTGACACTCTATCTGAGATGGAAACGGTCTATAATTGCAAGATTAATGTGATACAAAATTCTCCTGATTTCTAAAACAAAATCCATTTCAATTTTAGTAGAAAGCTAAAAATGAGACCATTTTTTTTTTTCTCATTTTGTCAAAATTAAGTGGAACTCACAATTGACCTCTTTCCATTTCTATCTATAGTTGAGCTGAAATATATACAATTTTGAAATCCAAATCTTGTTAGACTTATGAAATACTCACGTTTATCATATATATATGGAAATGGAAATGCTTTTTTTAAAAAAGATATGATGAGAGAAAAAGGAAAATTAACAAATTAAGGAAGGAAAATTGAAATATTCATAACCAACTTGTATAAGTAATTTGGCACAGCAGCCACATTTAGATTCAAAGGCACCACAAGTCATCTTGAAGTTAAATCACTTAAACAAGGAAAACCCCACCACCATGTGACAATAAATCCAAATCTTAAAAAAAAAAAAAAAAGAAATTGGAAATCACTCTTTCTCTTAAGGTCATTTTCGTCATTTCATCTTCCACACATCATCATCATCACTTCATGAATAACGAGAGGTTGTTCCCCACTTTCTTCTATATATACACCCAATTCATCCTCCATTCTAACCCCTTCCACAGTTCAACCCAGAAAAATTATCAAATCATAATCGTTTCTGATCCATAAAAGTTCAAAACTTGATCGAGCTTAAGCCAGCGCAGCAGAGAGATCTAAAAGATCGAGAAGAACATGGGCAATAGTTTAAGGTGTTGTTTGGCTTGTCTTCTTCCTTGTGGAGCTTTGGATTTGATCCGAATTGTTCATTTGAATGGCTATGTCGAAGAGATTACAGGTCCTATCACAGCCGGACAAATCCTTAAGGCTAACCCTAATCATGTTCTCAGCAAACCCACCTCCCAGGGAGTTGTTCGTTGCATTTTGATCCTCTCGCCGGAGACTGAGCTCAAGAGAGGCGGCATCTATTTCTTGATACCGTCGTCGTCAGTGCCGGAGAAGACCAAGCAGAGTGGTCGTAAAAATGCTTCATCTAGGAAGAGCAAGGAGCGTGCCGGCGGCGACGACGCTGATGATGATTCCTCTTCACAACAATGCAACAGATCATATGGGAAAGAAGTGGCCGACGACGTATTAGTCTCTGCCGGCGAAAAGAAACCTTCACGTAGGGATCGCCGGCGCAGCCGTTCCGGCATATGGCGGCCGTATTTAGAGAGCATCTCCGAGGACTAGTTGTTTTGCGTTGTCCAGCTGGTGCCGGCGCCGGAATAATCTGCCAAGCTGGAGGAACCAAGTTAAATTATATTATATATTGAAAAACAGAGTCAAATGAGCTTCTTCTTTTTCTTTTTTTCAAAAATATGTATTTTGGTGTTTTAATTTGTGGACATATAAAAAAGTTATCTTGTTCCTCAGATTGATCCATTACATGATCTGCTCGTGCTTGTTATGGAAAATAAAAGAAGGAAGAAATAATAACTTTGAAAAGAATCAAAGTTGCTTTGTATTAAACGATATGATTTTTTCTATGGCAAAAATTTTAAAAAAAAATTGTTATCTTATTTTCCCCTTATCTATGCTTTGATTCGATGGTTTTAGAGTTTTCTTTTTAAAATTTTAGTATTACAAAAAATATTAACTTTGTATTAAAATTTTATATGAAAGAAATGACCGTGTAACCATTAATGGCATGAGAGCTCCCATATAGGTCCAAGGATGCCGGTTTTATTTTGCTTGTAATCTCAAGCAATTAGCATTTGCCCTTCTATTTTTTTTAAAAAAAAATTGATATAATGAATATCCACTATATATCTTAAACCAATTTCATATATAGATAGTAAACAATATGATATATATATATATATATATATCTGTGAGAATAAATGACGAAATGTAAGTTTTTTTTTCTAATAAATATGTCATGTAATTTTGAATGTTAGGTCCAATATTAGTGCCCAAATTTTTTACTTGTGAGATTTTAAGTGGAACAGACATATGCGTGTTAGGCACATATGTCTCTACACATGTAATCGATTAGGTGGAAAATAAAGAAAGATGGAAATTAATGTTTGGTTCATGACAGAATTATTCTAACTTAATCTGTTAGTTGAACAGTGTGTCGTAGTACCACTTTAAGGTTATAATTAATTTTGTTAATTAATAATTAAGTATATTAGAACCAACTTGAAATTATTAGAGGAATATATATATGCCAAATATTAATATTCATGAATGATAATTAGTCAAACTCTAGTAGACAGGCATTTTGGCATCTTCTGATGAGAGGGAATTTCAGATAATGAACTTTTTAATTAATAATTAATAGTTAATTATTCTTAAGTATAACTTACACACACACACACACACACACATTTGTCCTAACAATTAAGAATGAAGCTCCCACGTCTTAGTCTCAACTTATTCCTTTTAATCTTATTCTTATTAATTATTTTATGAATCAAATGCTGGGTTGGTACATTTAGCTGGCTACACTATTACTCAACCAGTAATCTACTGTTTGTTTTTTTTTAATCACTATTTCTTAACGTTGTTAATATAATACCCACTTAATTAATTTAAATAAATTAAAAACTTAAATCAATTAGATAACTATAGCAAACGAAGTCCTAAATTACTTATCATATGTAATATTAGATTATATATAAAAGACAAAATGGATTAATTTCTTATATTTATGGCTAAAATTTAATTCTCTAGCTAGCTTTTATATCGAGCAGGCTAATGCGCAACAAGTGACATGTAATATAAATTGGTAAAAACTTTATTCATATCCAGTGGACTTAATTATGTTAGTGATATGAGTATTTTATGAATATCATTCTAAATATTTTTAAAGTTATCTAGCTTACTTTGACTTAGGATAGCACTTATGTCACTAAATGGGATGGGACTAATCAGTGGTTCAATGACCCCATCTCTTTCTTCCGACGTGCTTATCAAAGTTGCCTTAACTATTTTCGGCTTGTTTACTGGAGTATTTCTATGTCCATTCTAATGGTGATGGCGTGACTGGTTTCCTGTTTACTTTTTAGGGTTTAGGGTATATGACCACTGTATTGTTTCTCTTGTGTATTCTCAGGTTTGGATTTCATATTGTTTGGGTCTTAGTCTTTTGTACCTTGTGATGGACTTATTGTAATTTTTTTGTTTTATAAAGAGTAAATTTTCGAGCAAAAAAATATTCAGAAATTATTTGGTTTTGTGGGAAGATAACTAGTTTTTTTTTTGGGGGGTAAAACATGGAGAAATACCATCATAAGTCTTTTGACCATAAATACTAAGTCAATTTAATTTGTTCTTTGTATCTAGAGAAAAATAAAAAAAGGGAAGCCAACATTAAAAGTGACAAAAAAAAGAGAGATTCATGAATATATTTAGTAGCTAGAAGAGATTTAGTAAAACAAGTAAAGTTCACTAAAAGTTGAGTTGGCTCATGGATTGAAAAATATTTGACATGAGAAGAAAGAGAGTGACAGAAACATTTGAAAGGTGGGGGCCTCGTTAGGTGCATGAAGGAGGAACAGTGTTCCATTTCCCATGATTTAAAGGAAAATGTATAATTTTGTCCATACCATGTGAGATGTTACCTCATATGATAAGGATTTCATGAAATATCAACAGTCACTTTTATGAAAACAAAATATAAATAATGGATCAGTTCGGATGCGCAAAACATGCATAATAAAGTTTGTGCCAATTGTGGAAAACGAGATGTAAAATATCTGTATAATATGCCAGATTCTTAATATAAGAGTTATTTAATGGTTAAATTTGGTCTTAAATATAAGACTTCAATCTGATCACCTTGTCTTTTATTTTTTTTCCTGAAAACATCCCTATTAATTGCAAGAGATTCTCACCAAGAGATAATTCTAATGATCAAGTATATATGATTAAAGAGGGTAGTTTAGAAATATTAATATTTTTTTTATGACAAATAACTATTTTAATTAATTTTCTTAATATCTTCAAATTAATTATTTATCTTTGTATTAAGAACAGGAGGTAGTAAAAAAGTAAATAAATCACACTTCGCTTATATACATGAATTCTCATCTCACTCTATCTCTTATCAGTCAAAATTCTCTATAGATAATTCCCTACGTGAATATTGACGTCTCAATGAAAGCATTTTTATTAGTTTAAAAAGAGAATCCAATTTTTAAAAATAGCCTATTGGATGGGAGGGTTTCTTTCCTATTTTTTTTTGGGGGGGAATGGATTGGATGTGAGGGTTCTCGAATTTATAAATCACACTTCATTTATGAGGCACTACAATTTACAATTTAGGACTCATAATATGTTCCCGCAAGTCATCCTCCCTCTAATATGCGATCATTTATTATTTAATTATCACTTATATGTTTCATTTTAGCATTTCAAATGATATCACAAGCAAGATGGGACATCTATTATATGCTGCTCATGATTTATGAACAGTATATTTTTCATAAAAATTTCATATTTTTTTAAATTGATATTAGATTTATTAAACTATATGGGAACAATTGGAAACATCGAGAAATGGGGCCATGAGGCGCCAGGAGTCACATAAGTGGAATTGATCTCAAATAGGGACATCTCCACGCGACGCTCAGCTAAAAGCATAAGCGAACAAGCTGGCATTTCTTCCTTAACTTATTTCTTCTCTCTTAGTTCTTCACATGCATTCCCTTTCTTCTGTCCATGTACATATCCACACACACACACACACACATATCCACACACTTAGAAATATTCAATCAAGATATGGCATTTACATATTTGTACATCCCAAATTATATTATTAATTACTAAAAAAATCAATATCATCATGACTTTTTCGGTTTCTCTATTTTTTTTTTTTGCCAACCATTCCGTTTCTAGTCTAAAATGTATGATTTAGAAAATTAATTTATACATTTTTTTAAAAAATTAGTTAATTGATAATCATTTTGATTCTTTTAATCATTATATATATTGAAAATTATCCTATTATGTGTACAATCAATTAGGTAATTTGGGAGAAAAATAATAAACATGATAAACAAAGGATGTCTTCCATAAAATCAAAATAAACTATTCAATTAGCTCTTACGGATTGTAAATTATATTATGAAACCAATCACAATGACAAGCAATGCGTTGATTGATCATTAAATAGATGTGGTATAATATGTAGGATTCCTATTCATTTCTTTTTCCTTCAATAAATAGTCCTCTCTTCTATCTTGAATCTAAGAGTTGGTAGGTGGATTTATTTTAATTTAGTCATCTATACAAGATCTTACTCTATTTTATTTCTTAAATTTATAATTTTTTTCTAAAATCTCCTTATTGATTATATATACGAAAGGAGTTTTAATTTGCATTAAAGGAGTAGTTTCTAATGCAAATTATTAAAAACAAGATACTTTAAAAAAATCAATATATACTTTTTTTTAATATACTTTAAAAAAACAAATACCTCACTTAACCAATTTTTTTTTAATATATCCAAATTAGTTATCTAATTCTTATATTTGAAACTAGGGAGAATATTATAAAAATTAGAAAAAATGGTGATAAATCTTTCATTGAGAAATTAATTGACAATTAAATCATACCTTAAGACTTTGTACAACCTAACTTTTCTCATGTGTAAGTTAACTTTCTTTATATGCATCTATCTTTCTTTGTATTACATCTTCTCTTTATGTGGCTGAACTTTCCTTGTGTGTAATCTATTTTTCCTTATGTATGTAGAAGTTATCTTTCTTATGTGCAAATTAGCTAGTCATTTGTATCCAAATAATGTTTTGTGCAAATAATATTTCTTTTGGGCAACTCAACTTCTCTTATGCAACTTTGTTAGATATGATTAGTTTTGATGATGTCAAATAATAGAGCAAAAAGTTTGCATAAATTATTTATCTCATGCTTTGATTAACTATTGTATTTAATATCTTGTGTAGTTTTCTCAAGAAAAGAAAGGGGTTATTATATTAAACTTTGAGTTATGGAAAATGATCAAGAGGAGGAAGAAGAAGAGAGATTGAGAAAAGAAGAACTTGCAAGATCAAATGGAAATATCAAGATTCAAATTCATAGATTTGATATTAGAGATTGCTATGCTCAATTAGAAGTTTGAATGGCTCAATTAGAAGCTAAAATGCACAAACTGGAAGTTATATCATCATATATTAGTCAACCTTCACATAAACATTGAAAATAAGATTCAGACATGAGTTTCA